GGCTCCCTGTAGTGTCCTCGGTTGGCTCATTGAGGGAACTGCCCCCTGTTGGCATTGAGTCTCTCCCTAGAAACATCCCCTCCACCCTCCCATCCCCCCACATTCCAGAAGTCTCCCAAGAAAACAACACTCAAAGCATGTGACATTTATCTCAAGGAACAGAGCACAGACACGTCCCTCAATGGAGGTGGACGAGAACATGGATACCAAAACGGGAAAATGAGGCGATCGGCTCAGAGGCCACGACATAGTTTAAGGCTCCATGTGTACCTATGTGTGCGGGTGTTCACACGCACGTACACACACGTGCACACACACGTGGCACCTGACTCGGGAGCGGAGGCCCAACGTCAGACGCTGCTTGCGGCCTGCCTCAAGTATTGCGATTGCATTTATTAAAAAAGTATAGGACAGGAAGAGCACGCATCATTCTGAGCAAGGCAGCGCACTTGGGCCTCCCCGTATGAGCCCTGTGTCAGCCAGCCGAGCCACCGTCGAGCACACGTGGCCACACCGCCTTGGCACGATCGGGCGTGATGGGGGGTTGTGGGAGGTGTGGCAGGTGCATAAATACCCTGGGCTCCCATCCAAATGGCATGACAAAACTCCCAGAGCCCCCTCGGAGAAGCCCAGTGTCACCCCAGTCCCCTCCAGGGCGCCACGGGCAGGGTCTCGGGACGGCGCAGTCTGCGCATCAGGACCAAGGAGGCCCTGGGGACCCCTGGTTCGCTCCTGGACCCCGTGCCCACCCAGCCCTGGGGAGTGGCCGTCCGGTTGTGGCACGCCCTCCTCCCCGTCTCCATCAATCCCATGTGGCGAGCAGAGCCCGGACTGGAAATGGCGAGGGAGATGACCAGGAGCGTGTCGCATGGCGAGTGGCGTTTGGCTTGAGCATTAAGGCCGGCGCTGGGCACGGGGTCCTGTGGGAGAGCAGTGCCTCCCCAGGGCGGGGCCGGGCCGCCCCCAGGCCCCTCCTGCTGCCGCGGCCCCTCTGTCCACAGCGGCTGTGCTCTGCATCTCTCTGCCACGCTGGGGCTGGTTTAAAGTGCTGGTGCCAGGGAGGGGGCAGGGGCCGGCCGAGTTCCACAGGGGTTGGCCACACTGCCCCAAAGGGCTCTTAGGTGAGGATGTAGTTGATGAGCAGCTGACATGCCAGGAACACGCAGAGCAGGAACCAGGAGCGGGGTCTCTGCAGGAGGCCGGTGGCCGGTGCCTGCCTGGCCCTTGCCGTGGAGCTCAGCATGGCTGAGAGGTGTCTGCAAGGACAGGGCGCAGCGGCTCAGCCAGCCAGGCAGGGTGGTACACCCCTGCCCTCCAGGGACATCGGTGTGTGTGGGGGTGGGGCGCACGTTAGGACAGGGACCTCAGGGGACAGCGGCTGCACTGGGCCTCCTGGGCACATTGCAGGGAGAGGTCGGGGCTGTGGGCGCTGGGCCCCTTGTAGCCTCCCACCCACCTGCTGAGATGGCCTGAGTTGTGTCCCCCCTAAACTTATGTTGGAGCCCCAACCCCTAGGACCTCAGAATGTGACTGTTTGGAGATGAGACCTTTAAAGAGGTGACAAAGAAAGGTCATGGAGGTAAAACGGGGTCACTGGGGCGGGCCCAAGTCCAATGTGGCTGTGTCCTCACAAGAGGTCAGGACACAGACATACACAGAGGGACGACCATGCGGGACACAGGGAGGAGACGCTGTCCACACGCCCAGGAGCGAGGCCTTGGGGCAAACCGCCTGCCCACATTGGAGCTCGAGCTTCGGCCTCCAGAACCGGGGACAGTGAGTGTGGTTCAAGCCGCCTGGTCTGTGGACTGGGCAGCAAGCCTCCTCGGTGGCAGTAGGTGGCCTCTCTGACCCTCCCCAGTCCCCAGGCCTCCGGGCCCAGCTCCACCATCTGGGCCCCTCCTCCCAGCAGGGCCCTCCTGTGGTGGCTGCCACTCTGAGGACTGGCCTGTGCTCTCCTCTCCTCCAGCTCCTCCCCGCCGACCTGTTTCTTCCTCCAGGAAGCCCTCCCTGAATACGTGGGTGGCATTCCTCTCCCCCCCACATTCTTCCAGAGGGTCAGGCTCCCTTTCTCTTGGTGCCCTGCACAGCCTCACTAAGGAACAGGCTATGACAAAGGCATGTCACAGGGGCCTCGTCATTGGCATTCGGTTTTAGCTTTCTTAACTGCCCTTAAAACTAACAGCCACCCAATGCTGGCTGGGTGCTAGGCAGAGCTCAGCCCCCTGCACCATCTGCACCTCGCCCAGGAGCGGTACTGTCACCCTATCTTACAGAGGGGGAGACCGAGACACGACCGCCAGAGGTCCTACAGCCAGCGAGTCCCGTCACCTGGACTGAACCAGGAAGCGGGCTTTGGAGAGACCCGGAAACTATAGCCCTGCTCCACGTCGGGGCTGTCTGCTGGTGGAGGGGCCCACGAGGCCCAGCTGGCCCACATCCGCCGTGGCCACAGAGAGGGCCTCTCGGACTCTCCCTGCTCACGCCCTCGCTCACCCGCCCTCTCCTGAGGGTCTACTGTGAAGGGTGCTGCGAACTCAGCGGTGAACCTGGAGATGCCGGGGCAGCTGCTGCCGGCAAGTGTGTCCTCTGGGCTCCGGGCCCTCTCCAGCTCTGCATGCACCGAGCATCCCAACTAAGCCCGCTCACACAGAACGCCCTGCCAGCTGCCGGCAGTTGAGGGGGCAGAGCCCAGGGGTGCTTCCTTCTGCCCTCACCTGCATCCAGACCTTTTGCAAGTCCCAAGAGTCCTGGCTCTGGAGCGACATCTGGATGCTCCCCGTCCCTGGCTCTCCCGCCCATCCCTGGCCCCTGCCCAGCCCTGGCCCCTGCCCAGCCCTGGTCCCTGCCCAGCCCTGGTCCCTGCCCAGCCCTGGCTCCTGCCCAGCCCTGGCCCCTGCCCAGCCCTGGCCCTCCCAGCATCCAGCTCGGCTGGGCCCCAGACTCAGGCCTACCTGTGGAGTTCCTGCTGGGCCTCGCGGATGGACAGGATGGCCTCGTGCAGGGCCCGCAGCCGCCTTGCCTCCTTCCCACACCGAGGGCACGGGCTCTCGCTGCCTGGGATGGCCAGCGCCAATTGCAGCGCCCAGGGCACAAGGGGTCACGGGATGGAAGGGGACGGGAGAATCGAGGATGAGCTAAGATGTCCGGGGAGCCGGCGTGTGGGGTCCTGGGGTCACGCCCAGCTCCCCAGCTCCCCAGGAGGACTCACCAGGAGCAAAGAAGCCATCGTCCTCATCCGACAGCTCTGGGCAGGACTCAGGAGTAGAACCGCTGCTCTCGGTGGCCTGGCTGTGGCCGGAGGGCTGGTCACTGGCCTTGCGGAGCCGCCAGTCTGGGCCAGGCCCCTGGAGAGAGACGGCACCGCTGCGGCCAGGAGCCCACCCACGCCCACCCCCACCACATCCTCGGAGGCCTGGGAGTGCAGCTGCCCGGCGGACACCTGCTGGGGTGCCGCTGGCCTTGGGGACATGGCGGCGAGTTCTCTTTCTAAAGAGCGGGCTGGCGGAGGAGGGAGCCGCTGGTGTCGGCTGCACCGGCCTCGCCTTCCTCACTGGTGACCGGGCATGGCAGCGGGGCCGGGGTCAGCAAGCCGCCGTCGGCTGCAGGCGCTGCTCGGCACACATGGTGGCCAGCAGCTGTGTGGCACCGTGGAGGACACGCTTGCTTCCTCATCACGCACGCCCTCATCACGCGTGCCCGGCTGCTGTGTCAGGAGCTCCTGGCCCCTGCAGCCTCCCGCCTTCCGTCCCACCCTCCGAGGCCCTGGGATGGCGTCTGTGCGTCTGTGCGTCCGTGCGTCTGTGTACGTGCTGGTCCCCTCCTCCTACCTGGGCAAGTGCCCAGCTGTTCTGACTCAGCCTCCTGACCTGTGGAGCGGGCTCATGTGCTGTACCACCACAGTGGCGGCCCTGGGAGCAGCAGGCCGGGGCCAGTTCACTGGCACAGTGCCCTGCACGCTGGGGGACACTGGGAACTGAGTGTCCTGAAAGGCCAGGCATGTTGGGTCCCCTGCGGGGAAGGGGAGGGGCCGGGGGGCTGGGGAGGGTGTAACAGTGTGACAAAGCAGGGCACGGGAAGGAGGAGGACCACATGGGCGGGAGGGGGGGTTGGAGGTGGCGGCCACACCTGCATCTCACCGTCCCCTTCCACTGCTGAGAACGCCCCGGGCAGGGCCCTTGGGGATGCTGACCTGGCGCCGGGGCCCTGGGCTGCCCATGAAGCGGGTCTGGCGGGCCGGGGTCTCCCGCTGAAGGGTGTGCAGAACCCCATCTTGTTCAAACTGGGCGATGTCCTTCAGGGGGTCCCAGGGGCTGTAGCTGGAGGGTCCAGAGGGCATCTGTTGGTAGGGACGGTGGCCCTCGAGGCGAGGGGACGCCCTCGTAGCCCAGCCTCAGCACCCCGGCAGCAGTCAGAGCCCCCGGGAGAGTGACAGTAGCTCGCACTCATGTGCGGGGCCCGCGCAGAGGGCCAGCGGGGGCGGGGAGACGCCCTATGTGACCCCCGCCCCCATCACTCACTCCTCCAGGGAGCAGGAAGCCCTGCTGGCTCTCGGGCCCAGGGCTGGGCAGCCTGCTGGTCCCGCCCGCCACAGGCCTGGGGGCCACCACACGCCAGCACTCACTTCTCGTGTCTGTAGCGCCACTCCTGGGTGGCGGGGTCCAGGCGGAACAGCTGGGGCGTCCAAGGCGTGAGGCTCTGCTGCCGCTCGCGGGTCTGCTGCCGCTGTGCCTCCTCCAGGGAGAACTTCTCCTGTGTGGCCTTGTGCTGGTCACCCTCCCTGATGGCCCTGGTGACGTGCTGCCAGAGCCTGCAGGCAGGGCATCTGCTCTGAGCGAGGGGACCTGGGCAGCCACGCCCCCTCAGCATCGGAGGGGAGGCTTAGAGTAACCTCCACTTGATTGCTTCCAATAACAGGGAGCTCACTGCTCATCTGGGCACCTGTGTCTCCTGGGAGGCTGTTTATTCACCATGAGACGGTTCTCACCTATGCTGAGCTCGTGTCTCCTGCCAGCAGGGTGCTCCGTGTGGAGCTGCTGGTCATATGCCCACAGTGACGGACCCCAGAGCTGGCTCTCCCTCAGGCCTCGCTCTCGCTCCCTCCAGCTGCCCCTGGCAGGACGTCATCTGCCACAAGGGGGCCCACTCTGAGGCCTACCCTCCCTGCCAGGGACATCCGGGGCACTTGCTCATAGCGCCGCAGCCCTGCCCACCCAGCCACCCCGGCGGGGGTCAGCGGAGACCCCGGGGCCGGGTGGCCTCACCTCTCCGACTCCAGCTCTGTCTGCTCGTCCAGCAGCACCGTGTGCCGCTTCAGCCTCTGCCCGCGGGCCTCCCCGCTGGGGTCCCAGAAGAGCTCCGGGCCTCCACGCCCCTCCTCCTCGAGAAACACTTCCCGGTCCTGCCGCGGACGCCGGGTGGGGTCAGGTGCACCCCCGGCGTCCCGTGCCCAGTGGCCACCGTGCCCGCCCCAAGGGCGGCCTCTTACCCAGTGTCCAGAGAGACGCGCCAGGACCTCCTGCCCTGCCACAATCTTCCCCGAGATCTGGTTGATGCTCGTGCTGCCCCCAAAGAAAGGCTGAGGGGACCCCCCCCGAGACAGATGTCAGTGAGGGGCAGCGGCCTCTCCCCACACCCGTGCACCCCTCGCTGAGCTGGGGAGGAGGGGGCGCCTGCCAGAAGTGCATCCTCGTGAGGCGTGGAGTGGCCGCCCTCATGGGAGTGTGGGGTCTCAGCCCCCAGTGCATGGGACCCCAGCCAGGACGGGACCCAAAGCTAGCGGTGGCCACGCTCGTCCAATGCCTCAGCCTTGACCTCAAGGATGCAAGGTCCCCCCCAGGCCCCATCGTGGTTCTGTCCTGCTCCGCTATGTGGCCTGTGGCCGGGTTCCTCCTGCAGAACCTTGGGGCACCAAGAGCTACACCCCATGTGCACTTGCTCAGGAAACCACCTCCAGGGCACAGAGAGGTCGGGGGATCCCCACGGGCTCACTGCTCCCCGGCCCCAGCACTACCTTGAGCTTGAACTCCAGCTCAGCTTGCAAGCCGCTCTGCTTGCATGCGATGGTCACTCTGCCGCCCAGCTCCATGGTCATGGTGCCGTACAGGATTCCTGAGACACAGCAGGCATCGGGGGTCAGCCCCCAGGCCCTGCCAAGGCCCGACCCAGCTGCTCTGTCCAGGAGACGCGCCCGCCCCTTGCAGAGTCACCTTCATTTAGCGCCTCCTACGGGAGGCGTCTCCCCTGCTCACCGCTGTGCCCAGGACGGCCCGACTCATCATCACTATTATTTTAACTATTACATATGTTATTTAATTAAGGAAAGACCGAACCTTCCATTCCTGGCTATATGCAGCACTTTATCTAATCACAGGAAGGCAGCGTTCCCACTCGAAAACTCTTAGAAAAATCGTCTCTTTCACAAAAGGACAACAACCGAGCTAACTGCAATAGCAAAAGGCTGGAAAGACCCCCCGCCCCCCGCCACGGCCCGCTGCGTGCACGACGGAAAAGCTGCAGAGGGCCGGGAGCTGTGTGCGGCCGGGGTGTGGGGCTCCTCAAGCTGCGCCGCCGCAGAGCGGGGTGTGCGGGACCCCGGTCCTCCACCGGTGGGGCGGGGGCCGAGAGAGACCCTGGCCTTCTCTGACTGTACCAGGTTTCGTCATTTGGACTTTGGAACCACAAAGTAGTTCATTTACATAATTATAAAAAAAAAATGAAAGAAAAAAAAGCAATTCCTAGAAATCACAATGAAACCAAAGACCCGGAGTGGGTATCCACTGGGTGGCACGACCCCGCAGGGTGACCTTACCCAACCCAGAGGGACACACTTAGGACAGGACAATCGCACAGATCGAGCCACACACCGTTTCAGTCACGGCCCATTGGTGGCAGGTGGGACCTGTCACTCTGACCGCTGTGTGTGCGACGTGGTGTCCCTTTTGGTGTGGGGAAGAGACGGCTCAGACGTTTCACTTCCAAATTAAACGTCTTAAATCTGCATGGGAAATGCACGTGTGAACTCGTGAACTGTTATAATCTTAAAAAAAAAAAAAAAGCTTTCTATGTTGTGGTCACTGGAAGGCCATAGAAAACACCACTGGGGAAACACAGATGTGGCCCACATATTGTGATCTCTGAATACCACTTCCTCCTGGGAGGAACCTGGGGCCGCCTGGGGACACGGCCAGTTCCCCGTCTCCGTGATGAAGGAAGCAGACTGTCAAGGCCACGTACAAAGGGCCCGGGAGCCGGTCCGGTGGCCACGATGGCACAATGAGCATGAGTAGGGACACCAGCTGAGATCGCTCCAGGGACCAGACAGGCTCTGATCACAAGACCCAAAGCAGTAACGACCTCACAAAGTCACCTTTGGGGGACACCAGGGGAGAAAAAAAATCATTTTGAAAAGAGAAAAAATCCAGCATTTGTCTTATAGGCACTGAACTGCCTGGGCACCCTCGCAGGGGACGAGGTGGCGGGGGGTGGGGGATCTGCCCACGGAAACTCCCTGCTGGCCACATGAGCACCTCCAGCTTGCAACGCCTAACACGTGAGCAGATTTGGGCTCTGAGGGCCTCCGCGAGATTCACCACACAGACCACGGTGAGACACGAAGCCACCTCGTAGGTGTCTGGCTGGAAGACTCCCTGGAAGTGACCTAACCTCTAGAGATAAGGGCAACTTCCAGTTTACAAGAAACACCTAGGACAGAGGAACCCATTCAGTGACCCCACGGAACGCAACCCGCCCCGGAGGAAGTGTTACAAGGAAATGACCTCCTTCCTTCAACGAACACACCTAAGGCGAGAACAGGTGCAGGAGACAGCATGACGCAGCACAAAGCCCGAACCTTACTTAGAACCCTGCTCACGTATGCACCCGAATGGCACGCACACACGACAGCCGGGGGACTCTGAACCCTGACCGCGTATCTGATGGCATTGCGGAAACAGCCTCGATTGTTTCTGTGGGTGTAATGACAGTGTGTGGTTATGACTAAGAAGGGAACCCTCACCGTGGGGAACCCTCACGCTGAGGCACAGATGACACTATGCGTGGGATTTACTGCGAATCAATCAGACAGGGGAACATGTAGGGTACGAAGCGAACGAGATTGGCGGCCTGCTGTGTCGCGGTGCACGGGGGTTCGCTGTACACGCACATATGAAGTATTCCATGTCAAAACGGTGAAAACATATGTGATGGTGTTTTGAACGCACTGACGAGCAGACGAGCAAGCAAAAAAATGTGAGAAACGACTTGGGAGGGAAAAAACTAACATGAAGGAGAAGGAAGAGAGGGAGGCAAAGGGGGAGA